ACTCCTGGACTTGAATCCGATGTCACTACTTTCCAGTTGAGTAACTTTGGAAGTTTCTTAACACTTCTAAGTATCAGTGTACTCACCTAAAAATGACGATACTGACATCCCCACTCCCCCATATGGTTGATACTTATGGTAGTATTTGTAAAATGGTTAGCACAATGTCAGCTGCTGTCGTTATTCCATTACTAATCACCCATGATATCTAAATGGAACCACCACCTTGTCCTGTCCTGCAATGTTGACACGCAGATACACGAGGCAGTGCACACCCGGACACTTACAAAGATAATCCAAGGAGACATTATTGTTAGGTCAATTTCTAAACTTGAAAGGGAAACCGAGTGTGTGGAAGGTCTGTAGGTCTTTGAGTAGACTGGGAGGGAGGAAGGATTAAAGATCTAAGCTAAAAGAGTCCTGGAACAAATGAAATGTAGATCTTCAGTTGTTATTCTCCTCCTGGAGGGTGACGCTCTCTGGCAAATATTTCCTGCACTAATGGGGTGGTGTTGAAGGCCTTGTCCTGGGCCTGTCCTGAAGCAGCTCCCTTTAGAAGCTAAGGAGCAGAACACAGGGGGAGGGGTGTAACCTGAGACCTTGCTCCAGCAGGGCCTTAATCTCAGTCTAGAGAGCACCAGCTTTCCTAGCTGCAGACCTGCTGGGGCTCAGCTCTGCCTATAAGATGACTGAGTCCTGCCCATCTGGTACAGCACACATTGTCTCTGCAACTTGGAAAAATGCACAGGCTGTCAGGAATTAGAGTGTTTTATCAGCCAGTCAACTCTCTTAATTATCTGCATTGGCCTGGAGAGGCACCTTGGGCTTTCCACTGAGCCCTGGGAGGCAGGGTCTGCACCTTATGCTCTGTGCTGTCATTGGAGCAGCCACTTGACAAACATTTGTGAACTCCTATTCATCTCCAGGGTCTGGGCCAGGTATATAGGAGATGGGAGAATGTAAGAAGGTTTTTCACTCCAGGAGCTTCCTTTCTAGTTGGAAAGAATTATGGATGCTACTAAATGGTTAACAATAAATGCACATCCTAAGTGTACTTGCTTCCTATGAAAGCAATTCTATGAAAGTGTTTGGATGCTGGGAAGCCAAAATAGAATGACAGATATTTATTGCAGAGCATCAAAGATGGTGGAATTAGAACAACAATACTGCAAATTTGTGGTTAAAAACACAGCCACTGGTACTTAAATCTCATCCTCAAGACTGAGAGCTTAGACAAGTCACTATGCAGATTTGAGCAAACAGGTGATAGAGTGCCTTCCATTTGCCTGTCCTCATACAACACCAAAACACAAAGGGGACTCCACACAGGGTGAATGCCTAGAGGCAAGGATTATTGTGAGCCCCCTTGGAGACTGGATACCACACATCAAATAAGGATGCTCATGAATGGCAGAAAGTGTCTATTTGAGAAAGACGTGGATATGTTTATAAGTCTCTGCATGGGGGGCGCGGGGGGATGGAGAAAACTGTAGGTTGGCAGTCAGGAGACTAGGCCTCATTCCTGGTTCTGCTGCTGACCTCCTGAGTGGCCTTGAACAAGTCCTGTCTCCTATTGCAGCTGCAGGCTTTTTTTTTTTTCCAATACATGAATAACAAAGACTTTTGAACCTGTCATTGTGATACATGGGTCCAAATCCTACCACTTAGGCAGTTCCTTCACCTCTGTGGACTTCAATCTCCTCATCTGTCCAAGTGAGGAAAAGAAAACTACCTCTTGTATAAGATTGCTGTGAGGAATGAATGAGCTAGGCCATGTAAAATGCCTAAGGTACTCAGTAAATATTATTTGCCATTATGAGCAGAAGTAGCAATTTCACCTCTAGCTTTCAGAGCTCTGATTCCATTATCTGCTCTAAGCTTAAGAACAAGGGGCCTAAAATTTTCTGTCTCCTACATCAGTTCTGATTCCTACAGTTCCCTCTGAGACTGGCTTTGGGTGGCTTGCTTAGGTCTCAGGGGTAGGCTGGGAGTATCTGTTTCCTTTCTCAGCATCTGATGGTCAAGGCACTTGCATGCCTGTTATAGCTGGCTGAAATTAGAAGCCACGCAAGCAGAACAACCTCAAGGCTTGAGTTGGGGCCAGTCCTTGGGACAACTCTTAAGTGTATGTGTGATCACAAGGTGACAAGAGATGGAAAAGACCTCAGACCTTATCTAGTCCCTGATATGATCACCCCACCAGCTGTTAGGGCCACCATGCCTTCCAGCACTGTTTGAGCAGTTGTCAGAAGACCCACCCTCCACCACAAGGCCCATGGAAGCTGACTGTAGATGACTACTGGCTGGAGGCCTGCCCAGGCATCATACCTACCTACCCAAACCCACTCTGTGGCCAAGTCCTACCTCCATCACTATGGACCACAGGGATGAAATTCATCATATCTGTTCGCACTCTCTCTCGCCTCAGCCAGTAGTCTCAACTTCATTCTCCCATTGGCTCCTAAACTCCATCCCTGTGTTGCTCTGCTCATCTTTGCAGCTGCTCTGGCCTCTTCACCCCTATGTCCCTTACCCTCACTACTTTAAGACAGAAAACTCCTCTGCATCCTTAGCCTTTCCTAAAACATTCCCTTTTCTCATCTTGCTGTCCACTCAGGTGGGGGCTGTTATTCTTACCCATGCCCCTCAGGGTCAGGAGATCAGTCTGCAATTTTCCTGGTTCTCCAGGCAAGTCCGACACTCCTCTTCATTTTGTGAAAGCCTCTGCTCCTTAGTCTCGCAGCATTCGGTCCCCTTATCCCTCCTTCTCCACCTCCCTCACACACCCCGTTTCACTCCTTCTTTGGTGTTCTCTAGGGTTTCCTGGTCAACCCACTCACTCACAGACCACCCAGGTTCCCAAGCTCCTGGGCACCCTTTCCACCCCAACTACCTCATTATTCTTGGGCCTTCATCATCCATGAGGATGACTTTTCCAGGAGTCCAGCCTTGACCTCAATGCCAAGAAAGCTTTCATACCTCAGCTACTCACTCTCTTCCCATCACCAACAGGGCATAACCTCCCAAATCCCAACTTACACATCTTACTCTCTGGCCATCATCTCCTGTTCTTCTGGCTTACTTCCTCAACACCCTCTACAACAATCATTTGACCTCCATGTGAACCCGACCTACTGGGCCCAGTTCTTTCTCAGTACCCATCAGTGTTCTCCTGGCTTTACTTCACTTTGTGTCTTAGATTCACTGGAATCACTCCTTACACATACCTCTGACTCTTGCTCCTCCAGACCTCCTTTGTTCTTCATCCTCTTTGCAATAGTGCTTAGCCTTAGTACAGGGTTTATTCATTTGTAGAGGTTTTAATGATACATATCTTTTTTTTTTTTTTTTGAAATTTGGGTGGTCATCTATGATGTAGGGCCATTAACAAGGCAGGTATTCCCATTTCTGTTTCACAGATGCAGTGCTGAGGTTCAAAGAGTTTAATGGTGTTTCCAGGTTTGTCCAAAGCCAAGCTTCAAACCATGTCTCCTGGCCCTAAGTCTATCTCACCTCTTTAAGGCAGCCTTTCTAGAATAGTTGGGATTTGGGTAGCTGATGAGGAGGACTGAGTGGTGTGGGGACACCCTAGCAGAAGGGAATGCTCCTAGCAATGCCGGGAGCAAAAAGGTGGTGATCCAGAGGGAGTGGGACAATGATGTTCCTCCCAGGTAGAGAGAGGCTGAGAAGTCCTCTCAGAGGCAGCCTTGCAGAGGTGTGCTGGCTGAGAAATGCAAAGTCAGATGCCTTTGGTAAAGCATACTGTCTGAAACAGAATTCCCCCAGCTTCCCAGCCTTCTGCAAATCCCATTTCTTTCCTTGTTGGGGCTCAGGGGACTGAGGGCCTGCATCACTTTGCACATCAAAGACGCCACCAGGTTTCCCGGCCCAGCTCTCAGAGGCTTTTAACCATCTGCTGACAATAAAATCGCTTTTAAATAAAAACCAAGACTCAATATTCGGCAGAAAAGGGATTAACAGGATCAGTCAGGGGATGACATCATGCTATTTTTGTTGGCACTCCTCCAGCTCAAGTGTGAGGAGTTTGGGCGTGGAGAGAGGAGATATATATTTCTTTCTTTTCAACTGACTTGGCAGCTCTGCATCTAGGTCTGGACAATCCTGGAGGCTGGAATTGCTCAGGGTCAGCAAGGTCAGGGCATTGGCCAAAACAAGGACTGAGCACACTGGGTCAGCAGGGGCAGAGCTGGAACTGGGATGGGCTTTCTGCCAAGAGTCATTCTCCCGGGGTCTTAGGGAATGAAAGTCCCTGCTTGGTGATCAGGACATGAAGTTAGAACAAAGTGGAGACAGACTAATCTATAGAACCAGGGCCTGGCCCATTCACATGCAGACCTCTGAGTGATGTCCATTAACAGCACTCAGAATGACAAGAGCAAAGAGGGCTTTGGAAGATAGCTGCTCCAGTTGTTTCCAAACTTAGTCTTATTTTTAGTTAAGGAACTGTTACTTCAAATGAGATACCAAAGGTGCCCCACTGCATACAGAAGGCTGGAGCAAGAGGACATACAAAGCTTGGAGCCTCCTATTTGAGTCTCCGTGGCTTCTGTGCTGCCTTGGAATCTAACACCAAAAATATAAATTGAAATCTCTGATCACTCATTCAGTAAATACTTTCTAAATGCCTGCTCCATGCCTGATACTTCTTCCAATGGCCGGGTGGGGTGTGTGTGTGGGGGAAGTCCATTGGTGAGCAAAACCAGGAATAGTCCTGCCTCCCTTATGGAGCTTACATTTGTGTGGTAGACAGACATTAATTAAACAATGACACAAATAAATGTGAACTCCCTTCTCCCCCAGCGTGTAGGGAGAGACTCACTTGTGTTAGTGCCAGATTTTTAGCCTGGCAGTGCTCTAGGCTCTGGACTACTGAGCCTTTGGCTGCCTTTCCAGTTTGTCGCACATGACTCTCCCACCTACCTCACAGCACTTCTGCCTGGTCCAGAAGGGAGAGGAGTGGTTGGAATTGTGAATGGGCAAGAAGCACAGGTAGAATCCTCATCCAGCTACCAAGACCTTAGAGTCACCCAGCCTCACGGGAGTGCATGAACTCACCTTGGACTTGACTGATGTTAGGTGTACATAGTTCCTCAAGTTCAGTAGGGGCCGAACATGACATTTGTTTGTGACTAGTGCATTTTGTTGGGTATTCCTGGGCCAGAGACTCACTCATTGCTTCTTCGGGTCTGGCTCCAGTACAGCTTCTCTAGACTTTTCTTGAGGGAAGACTGAAGGAACTCCAGGATGACATCTCTTCCCTTCAAAGACTGTAGGATCTAGGGGAGGAAGCAGACAAATAAAGTAGCAGTTATGGCATTAGGAGCTAGGTAGAGCCAGGGATGCCACCCAGATGTGGGGTCCTTCGTTCCTCCTCTCAGAAGGCAGTAAAAGAGTGGGTCGAGGGTTGAATTCTAATGTAAAAGAGTGGGTCGAGGGTTGAATTCTCTTCCAGTCCTCTCTGCCCCCCACACCCCCCATATTGGGAGGTCTGCCTCCTGGAATACTGAGTCACAAGACACCAGACCCCAGGCTACTGGTCCCCCTTCTCTTAGCAAGACAAATAACCTTTGCACCTCATCTTGCTGGGCTTTCTAAAATGGTCATGTCAGGCTGAACAGGCATCAGCTGAGTCCTCCACTGAAGGGTTGCAGTCACTTTGGATTTATAATATAGAGGAAGAAAAGTCATATTTCTTCTTAATTTGGACTTACCCTGAGTCTTATTTTTTTTTGGATTTTTTTTGTTTTCTCATATTCTTTTTTTTATTATTCTTCTTTTAATTTTAGATATTTTTTACATTATTTTTCATTTTTGCACAATGTATGTATTTTCATCTTGGTTATAGTCCCCATACAAAAGACTAATTATAATAAAGTAAAAATCAAAATCAACAAGCAACTATAAACCAGAGACACATTACAGGAGGAGGAGGAGGGAGTAGGATCAAAACAAGGGGGGGTGGGAATTGTATGGGGATTACCCTGAGTCTTAGAGGAAAGGCACTTAAAGTCTATCACAAGCGTGATGACCTTTTCATACACCTGACCTGGTTTACTACACCCTGAGCTCCTCCCACACTTTAGAAAGGGTGCAGGTCCTCAAAGCTGCATCCAGCTCCTTTCCACCTCCCTACAAGTTTCCAATTCTCTGCATCCAGCCTTTCCATCCCCTCCTTCTGATATTCCTGTTCTGGGACATTCATTCTGGAGTATTGCCCATTCAGCCATCTTCTCTCCAATCCCTCTCATGGCCATTTGAACCCTGGACCAGCAGGGATGAAGGGGTAGAAATTCTAAGTCCTGCAGTCCATGGTTAGTGATGGATATGGATCCTTCTCTTTGGATTTCTTTTTAACATTCCCATCAGAGTGAGTTGCATACATACAGGTTCTACCATCAAACAGCGCGATGAAATTATGAATACACTCTTCTCCCCAAAGCAGTAATTAATTTGGGGAGGTAATACTGTTTAAGCCACACAAGAAAAATTCAGCTGTTCATTGGTGTGCTGGAGGTAGCTCATACAGGCTTGAAGAGTGAATGATAAAGTTTTAGGAATTTTACAAGGAAGCTATTAAGTATTATCATAATTAAATAGTAAATTATATGAAATCATTTACTACACTTAACTATTATCTATGTTCTTTTTTTTTTTAAAGATTTATTTATTTATTTACACAAGCACTGGGTACAGTCAGAAGTAGGAGAGGGTGAGAGAATTCACCAGAGCCAGAGGGGAGAGCAGAGCAGGCAGACTGACGAAGTACACTGCTGAGGGGAGCAGCGGGTGGCAGGAGAGGTCTGCACGCCATTGTGGGACCCTCGCCCGGTGGCCGGGGATTGAACCAGCGCTGCAGAGGCTGCGGGCAGCTTCGCAGCCCAGCGCTCAACTGCTGCGCCACCAGGGAGGCCCTATTATCTATGTTCTTAAAGTTATTTATATCTACTGTATCTATATAAATACTCCAGTAATCATTTTTGTTCAATGTTACTGCATTAAAATGTTGACGAGAAAAAAATTCAATTCCCTTCAGGGCCATTGTCTGTCTGGTTTGTACGTTCTCCTTATGTCTGTGTGGGTTTTCTGTGGGCAGAAATCCTGCCTCCCAAAGACATGCTTGTTGGCTTCACCGGCATGTCTCATTTGTCCTAGTCTAAGTCACCGTCTTTGCAGATGGGAGACCTGATAATTCTGGAAATGAGAGGTATATGTTAACTGCATGGTGAACACAGATTTTACCCCAGGCTGGTGGGGAGGAGTTAAGGGAGGAAAGTGAAGACCCTTCCTTCACATTCCTGGAGGATGTGGGGCTTATGTAGTGGGATAGGTGAAGCCAGAGAATAAATCTGGTGCCTTTTTCCAGAGCATCAGTTTAATCAATGTTAAGTAATTTAAAACATTATTTCAAAAATAAAATACACATGAAAATATTATGCAGAAGGACACACAATTTGGACATATTCTTGAATTAAGAGATTGCAAAAAATTTTCTTTACTACAGCTTCAGACCCCAGGAGTATCTATTCATTTTCTCTGACATAAAAAATCCTTAGAAAAATTTGAGCAGCCCTGAGCTAAAGGTTTTGGAAATATCACAGCAAAGAACTGGACAGAGGATAGACAGGAAGTGGGTAGGGCAATCCAGAAAGTAGAGTTCCGTAGGAAAGAGCTTGGCTGAGAGTCCTTGGGCTTGAATTCTTGCTTTGTCACTTATTAGCAGTGTGCTCTTGTGGATTGGTTACTTCACTGCTTTGTGCCTCCATTTCCCACATCTCTGAACTGAGGATAGTGATGGTACCTATCTAATAGGTTGTTTCAAAGACAAATTTAAATGTGTGTGCAGCATCTGGAGTTAGTACTTGTTCTTTCCAGTTATTTCAAGCAGCAGACATAGCATGAGTAAAACCAGAGCCTGGACAGGCACATTCAAGAAATGACAGGCTGCTTCACTTGGTGTGTATGTGGGGAGAAGTGGAAGATGAGGCTGGGGAACTTTCTTGGCTCATGTGCAAGGTAACCTACTTTACATTATACCTAACTGCCCCCAGGCAACTCACTTGCCTCTTGGTTCTTCCCTGTGCAGTGAGGGAGGTAAACTTGATTCTGGTGCCCACAGTCTATGCTTTAATTCATCTTTTCTCTGCCTCTTTGCTCTATGAATACCCACACAGATCAGATCCTCACAGTTGAATGATTAAATAAGCTTTTATATGCTCACCAGTTGCCTTATGTATTAGTTTTTCTATCCCTAAAATAACTAAGAAAATTATATCTTTGATCTAAAAATCTCAGTTGAGGAGATAATTCAATTGTATAAAGTTTTTTAAAAAATTATTTTTGCTAATTTCATGACAATTATGGCACTACATTTGAGAAAGCAAGAACTCTATGTTCTTGGAGTTAAGAGAAATTTAGATTCAAATCCTGGTCCACCAGTTACCAGAATTTGTTTTTTCTTTAAATGTTAGTTTCCTGGGCCTCCCCTGGTGGCACAGGCGGTTGAGCACCATGCTGTGAAGCTGTCCGCAGCCTTTGCAGCACCGGTTCAATCCCGGCCGGCCAGCAAGGGTCCCACATGGCACGGCAGACCTCTCCTGTCTCGCCCACTGCTCCCCTCAGCAGTGTATTTCGTCAGTCTGCCTGTTCTGTTCCCTGCTCTGTCTCTGGTGAATCCTCTCACCCTCCCACGAATCTGGCCTGTACCCCGGTTCTTGTATAAAAAAACCTAAAAAATGTTTAAAAAAAAGTTAGTTTCCTCATCTCTGAAATGGACTAATTGATAATAGTACCTGCCTGATAGGGTTATTGTGAAAATTAAATGATATAGGCAGGTGAAATCTGAGAAGATGGGATAACTTCCTTTTGCCTCTGTGGGTGCTGCACAGAGATGAGGAGGCTGAGACTGGTTCTCTTCTGCTGGGCACTCTCTGCAGGTTGTGACCCTCAACCCCTTGTCACAGCACCTGTCTGACTACCCTCTCCACACTGTTCTGTCTCCCACCTTTATCCCTTTAACCCAGGCTGGTAATGATTCCATACATCCAACCTTGGTTATCACCTTCTCTTGTGTGACCCCACTCCCTCCCTCATTCTGCCCACATATTGGTATATAGATCCTTTATTCAACTCTCCTCAAATGACCTGATTTGCATGTTCAACCTGCTTCCTGTGGGGCCAGACTGATGAACTCAGTATAGTACTTGGCCCATAGTAGGTGCTCAACAAATGGAAGCAATTATTTACATGCGGAATAGGCAACTCAGTGACCTAATAACGGAAGACCTGGGCATATTTATCCAACATATTCATAGATTCAACAGGTACTCACCACATGTTATTTATTATTTCTCATTTATTATGAAATGCCTACCATGTGGCAGTCAGCCTGTTCTCTGGTCTCAAGATTGATTACAGGTTCACAATACTTCTTACCAATTTCAGCCCTTTTGCTAGTTAGTGGGTACATAGGATTCTTTAGTCAGGCTCTTCTCTTTTGCTGGGATTCCTTCGACAGAGATTGACTGAGGCAGGTTATCCTCTGAGATTTGTGAAGAATCAAGAATAAACTGGGGAGTAATTACTACCAGAAGCAGCACTACCACTCAACGCCATATCCTGTGCCCCATCTTCTAGCCTCCCCTACTGTCACTACTTGATACCCTCTATCTCTCCTCTACCTCCTCCACGCCCCCATCTTTACTACAGGTCTCTACTGGAGCCCATCTCTGTGTTAGGCACTGAACTTGACACTTTCCTTATTTCTCTTCCTCCCAGGGGTATTATGAAATTGGCAGTCTTACCTTCTCCACTCAATTACAAAATTGAGCACACATACAGCTACGAAGTGGCAGAACCAGAATCTGAATGCAAGCGTGGCTGATCCAAACTCACACTCTTGTCACATAGCTGGATGCTTCAACAGCAGTGAGACAAATCTCAGCTCTAGCTTTAGCTTGATGATACTTGCTTTCAATGCAAAATTGTGAATCTATCAAATAAGCTTACAAAATTTCCCTCTAGATTGCTCATTCTTGTCTTTTCCTTTCTCCCCATGCCCCAAGCCCCCAGGTAGGTCTAGTAACCTAAGGTCTGCACAGCCTTCATTTGCTTTCTTAAATGCCTTCATTCCTACAAAGACAATAATGTCTGATAACAGTATAAATTGTTACTCTCACTTCAACTCCAACCCCATAAAAATGCGTCTTTGTATTTTTAGTAGCATGTGGTCAGTCCTATGTATGTGGAAAGCATTAATCTTTCTTTTTGCTCCTTTCTA